TTAGAAGCTGGAGCACTACAGAAACTTTATTCCTGGATGAAGCTGTATGCACTATGAACCAATCTGTATGCCAATCAAAAATGAAGCTAGTTAGACTCGACTAACACAGACATGTAGCATTACATGTAGCAAACATAAGCTACATAGTTAGACCAACTCTACCCTAACTTGAGCAGTTGAAATGCACATTGCTAGTTCAACCATGCTGCAAGACAAGCTACTATACCCTATGAAATACACCCTTCTGCTGAATTTCTGCTATGAATGTAAACAAAGAAGGTGGCTATGATGGATGGCATTTAATTACATACCACCATTGTCCTAATTCTTCTTTGAAAAGACAGTGGAGCTAGACTTTCCTCAATAAACCTTTCCAGGTCAAGAACACCATTTCACTGCAGCGCCTCTGAACTTCTGACCCGCTTTGAAGGCGCCGCTGAAGAAACACTGGCCAAATCCTGCAGGACCAGCTAGTGCAGCAATCTGCCCTCCATTTTCACTAATTGGCGTAATTATGGCCTTAAACGGCTGTGTTTTTACAAGGTTAGCTCCAGTTCTCCATTTCAAAAGGTCAAAAAAAAAAACTACAAATAAAAAAAACAAGATAACTGCCAAAAGAACAGAATATCATTTAAAAAAAAAAAAAGACATTTCAGACATTTCATCTTGCCTTTGTGACCTTTGTGAACCTCAGTTAAAGTGAAGCATACATCTAATGTTACAAAACTTTGGCAACTTGTTTAGACACCGATGGTTCTTGATGGTTAATATGTAGTCATCTGTGAATATGTAAGAGCATGCTCTTAATGGAAAATAATCAACAGTCAACAATAGGTGTGGTGGTGTGATGCAGCTTGACACAAAGCTAGATTACTGCTACCACCTCAAAGCCGATTATTTTCCTAAAAAAAAAAAAAAAAAACACAGCCTGAAGTGTTTTATTCCTTTTACACCACAGCAATTTGCCAACAATTACCATTCCTATTTATTCATAAATGACACATCACAAATGCCTTTTTATCTATTTCCAGCTACATTTTAAAGTTGGGAAACTCTGCAACACATGTTAGTTCATTATATCATGTACATTATTTTACCTATTATCAAACACTCCTTTGACACACTCGTTTTTCTCGACTCTTGAAGTTATTAAGCAAAAAAAACAAAACAAATGCAGCTTGTAATACAGAGTTACAGAGAAACCAGAAAGCGTGAAGTCTTGAAGACTTTCACATGGAGGAAAACTTGCCGTTACAAAGCTCTGCTACTGGAGACTCCTTCCATAAAAGTTAGAATTAAATATTTCCTAACAAAAAAAAACAAACAAAAAAAACTTTGCCTTATGTATGAATGAATGATAACGTATTCGAACAAGCGCATTAATATATGGGGATCTGAATTACAGCCGGAACTACCGTCAAAGTTTCTGTTATAGAAAATAAATCAACACCTTCTGCAGGAACAGAATTGAGCGTTCAACAGTGCTGTGGTATAAATAATGATAATATCTATATTTTCTATGCACTCTGCTTTTCAGTCCTGCTTTGCATTAGATTCAGATCAGATCTGCGCAAGCTGCAGAGGGCATTCAGGCTGCTTTGCTTCCCAGGCACAAGGTGGAAATTGACCGTGAACGCTTTTACTGCGAATTCCAATGGACACTCATCGGCAGCCAACGTTTTCAGGGACGCTGAATTGGAAATTTGGGGGGGGGGGGGGGGGGGGGGG